ACTCCACACCCCCAGATTTTTTTGAGCCACAAATTAGTCTGCTGCCACAAATTATTCTGACTCTTGAGGTAATTTATCAGACTGTGCAGCTCCCTCTGGAGAAACAGGAGGCTTTCTACAACTTTCTTCACAAATGAGGAAGTACTAGAAACCTTTTTTGTTGCTGCCAAAAACCTAAAACATCACTTCCTGTGCATCGGAGGTGTTCATGAACATCCATGAACCAACGTGAAAGCAGCAAAATAAGGATTCATTTGTGTGAAATGAATGCCAAAGAAAGCCAAAATGAGGACTTAGGTGGTGTGACTGTCCTCATCTCCCACCACTCATGTCCCTCTGAGATCACACATCTGTCTTTTTTCTCTCTCCACTCTCCTCTGTCTCCCGGGGTCTCTTCAGAGAGATAATACGCTGGTCATCGGGGGAGCGACAGAGAGAGGGGAGATGGAGATGCAGGGCTAATTGCGGGGTGCCGGAGCTCGTCGGCGCGGCACTGCCCGCTGTTTTTGGCTCAGCCATAATTACCTGGTATCCGCAGATGTTTCACGCCATTGTTGTACACCCAGACAGAGAGCAAGGGATGGATAGATGGACAGAGAGAGGTGGGGAGACATAAAGAGGGAGAGACAGGGGCTGGGTCTCCCAGCCAGCTGCAAACTTCTGCACACACGCAAAGAAAACAGCAAGCAGACGCTTTCTCTCTCCATTCATCCATCTATCTTTTTTGCCCATTCTTTTATTCATCTTTTTCAATCCATTATCAAACCAACCCTTTTATATTTGCACCTTGAGTGTTGATAGGTGAACATAATTCTCTGTGTGTGTGTGTGTGGGGTGCAGCCTTCCCACTGAGGCAGAACAAAGTAGCGTAATAACTCAGACACTGAGCTGACCCTCTCTGCTGCTCTCAAGTACACTTAATGGAGGTGTGTGTGTTAGCATGCATGTGCCTCTTTGTGTGTCTGTCTGTTATGCTTGTGCATGTGTGCCTCCGTATGTGTGAGTGTTCAAATAGCTGATCCCCTCCAGGGGTGAATTGTTATGGATGCTGTTCTGTTAAAATTACTGTTATTTGTTTCCTTTAAAACAAGCTAATTGCAGCATAGCGGATTGCTCTGTGTGTGTGTATGTGTGTGTGTGTGTGTGTGCGCGCGTGCATCAATTTATTTGCTTTCTTGTTTATTGTTTGTTTGTGTCGCATTGCAGACCCCTCCAATTTCTTTAGCATGGACACATTTTCACTCCGGCGTCAAATCTCATTCTGCTGCAGCTGTTGGGCAGTAATTTGACTTTTTAGCCAATTGTCTTTGTTTTCAAAGCTAAATTCTGCTGCTCAATGAAAAGGAAAGGAAATGATCTGCACACAAACTGTATTACAAACAATAAATGGCACCCAGCGAAAAGGATTCGTCAACTTTTTATGCTTTTACTGAACAAGAAAAAAAGCACTGTTCTTAAAAGTCCTTTATTCATTAGCTCAACAATAATGTCTTTTTCTAGTATTTTTCTTGCAAAGTAACTCTTTTTAATATTACTACAGCAGCTATACAGATACTCAATAGTTAATCTGACTGGCTGATTGTAGTATTTAGTATATTTAGCATTGAAAAACAAGCGTACGAGTCTATAGCCACGCTAGCAGCTCTGCTGGTATTTGTTATGTTCACTGTCTTAGTGTAGCCTGTTAGCATGCTAACATTT